AGCATAAGCCTTTTGCAGAATTCATGTACAGTTCAGGAGAACCACAGTCAGTGACTGCTGTGGGGACAAAGAGAAGACCTTGTCTAGTTGCTGGGTAAAGAAAAAGATGGTAACACGACAAGATTATATGGCTGCTTTATCCTTAAGATGGCACTATAAACTCACATTTCCTCTATACAGAAAGAGACACAAAAATAACAGACTTATCTGGACTTTTACTTATTTCTTATCATTTAAACTGGGAAGACTTTTGTGTCAGAAACTAAATGTATCTAAGTTCTTGTATCTATTATATTGTTGTTGTTGGGTATTTTGTTGGCTTTACTTTGTTTTGAGACCAAGTTTTATATAGCATGGGCTGGCCTTAAATTCCTTATAGGACCAAGGATGACTTTGAATTCCTGATTCTCCTTCCCTCAGCTTCCCAAGTGCTGGGAAAGCAGGAATGTGTTACCATGTCTTACCATCTATGATTCTCAGTTATTCTTCATAGCAACTACTTTATCTCATTTTGCAAAGTAGGAAAAGGAACCAGAGGGTAAAAATGACTTGCTGTCAGATATAGTTTGTTAACAGCAGAACCAGAATTTGAATGGAGTAACTGAAATCCTGGAGCAGGGTACCTAATTTCTCAGCTGTGCTACATCTTTACTGAGATCCACATACCAGAAATCCACTAGTATTAGAAACTATATTAGTTATGAAAACTTATTTTCCCCAGTTCTGATTGTATGGGGAAACATGGGGATGAGATATCAAGGAGCCTATGTTTTATCCCCCCAAGAGTAAGGCAAGAAAGCACCCAGGCCTCTGGAATACTGCACCATGGATCTCTACTGTCAGAGTCTCACCCCTCCCCCCAGACTTTCCTGTGGACTCTGAGTATACGACTACATCATATTTCTTGAAATTGTGCTGGCTGATCTTCAACAAATGGTGCTGGTCCAACTGGATGTCTACATGCAGAAAAATGAAAATAGATCCATATTTATCACCCTGCACAAAACTAAAGTCCAAGTGGATCAAAGACCTCAACATAAAACCAGATACTCTAAATCTGTTAGAAGAAAAAGTGGGCAACAGCCTAGAACTCATTGGCACAGGAGACAACTTCCTGAACAGAACACCAACAGCACAGGCTCTAAGAGCAACAATCAATAAAAGGGACCTCATGAAATTGAAAAGCTTCTGTAAAGCAAAGGACACCATCATCAAAACAAAACGACTGCCTACAGATTGGGAAAGAATCTTCACTAACCCTTTATCTGACAGAGGACTAATATCGAGTATATACAAAGAACTAAAGAAGCTGAAAAGCAGCAAACCAAGTAATCCAATTAAAAAATGGGGAACAGAGCTAAACAGAGAATTCTCGACAGAGGAATATCGAATGGCAGAGAAACACTTAAAGAAATGCTCAACCTCATTAGCCATCAGGGAAATGCAAATCAAAACGACCCTGAGATTTCACCTTACACCCATCAGAATGGCCAAGATGAAAAACTCAAGAGACAACACATGCTGGAGAGGTTGTGGAGAAAGGGGAACCCTCCTCCACTGCTGGTGGGAATGTAAACTGGTACAAACACTCTGGAAATCTATCTGGCGCTTTCTAAGACAATTAGGAATAGTGCTTCCTCAAAACCCAGCTATACCACTGCTAAGTATATACCCAAAGTTTGCTCAAGTACACAAAAGGGATACTTGCTCAACCATGTTTATAGCAGCTTTATTTGTAATAGCCAGAACCTGGAAACAACCCAGATGTCCATCAACGGAGGAATGGGTACAGAAATTGTGGTATTTTTACACAATGGAATACTACTCAACAAACAAAAAGGAGGAAATCATGAAATTTGCAGGCAAATGGTGGGATCTAGAAAAGATCATTCTGAGTGAAATATCCCAGAAGGAGAAAGACAAACACGGTATATACTCACTTATATAGACCTATAAGATATGATAAACATAATGAAATCTATACACCTAAAAAAGATAATCAAGAGAGTGGACATGGGGTAAGATTATCAATCCTCGTTTTGAAAGACAGATGGGATGTGCATTGAACGTATGACAGGAGTCTACTGAGTACATCTGAAAGACTGTAACTAGCAGTGTTTCCAAAGCAGATACAAAGACTCATGACCAAACCTTCGGCAGAGTACAGGGAATCATATGAAAGAAGGGGAGTTAGTATGATGGGGAAAGGATAGGAGCTCCACAAGGACCAAATATATCTGGGCACAGGGTCTTTTCTGAGACTGACATGAAACCAAGGACCATGTATGAATGTAACCTAGAACCTCTGCTCAGATGTAGCCTGTGGTAGCTCAGTAACCAATTGGTTTCCCATAGTGAGGGGAACAAGGACTATTTCTAACAGGAACTCAATGACTGGCTCTTTGACCTCCCCACCCCCCAAGGGAGGAGCAGTCCTGTTAGGACACAGAGGAAGGCTTTTCAGCCAGTCCTGAAGATACCTGATAAAACAGGATTGGATGAATGGGGAGGAGGTCCCCCCCATCAGTGGACATGGAAAGGGACAGGGAGGAGATGAGGGAGGGAGGGAGGGTGGGATTGGGAGGGAATGAGGGATCAGACACAGCTGGGATACAGAGTTAATAAAATGTAACTGATAAGAAAAAAATAAAATTAAAAAAATGTTCAAAAAAAAAAAAGAAAGAAATTGTGCTGGCTGTCTTGCATCTTGTTTTCTTCACTAATCTTTGTAACCTCTGTGCTTGGTAAGATGCTCAGAGCATAGCTATCTTAAGAAACCATCTCTGAACTCTGTTCTTCCATCTTCCATATTAAGCCAGACCCTGCAACAGAGGTACTGTTTTCTCCATATCTGTGCTATCCCTCCTTTTTCTACATAAATAACCTCCCCTGCAGATGGTGAATTGTAAGAGGGAAGGCAATCTGCATAGAAAGCTGTTTCTATTTCAAGAGGTTGGCTGTTTAGGTGCTGCTAAGAATTGGTATAAATGCAGAAACTGGGATTAAATTGTTAAGTAGCACTTAGTAACTAGTGTGCCTTCCCTTTGGGCATTTCTAAACCTGGGGAAACTATGCTGTGCCTACCATCTGCCTACATTTTCATCCACATTAAATCTAGTCAAAAGGAATGTCAGGGACCATTTGGAAAGGGAAGTGAAGCATGGAACAGTGGAAACCCACAAAGGAGCACAAATGAGGGAAGGTGAGTCACTCAGCTCACTTTCCACCCCTTTGCCTCTAAAAATGGCAGGTTGTTCTTAGCAATTGCCGGTGAAATGATACTCTAGGCCACTGAGATGTCTCTCCAACCCACTAAGCTTTCCCCACCCCACTCAGACACGGTTTCTCACTGAGCCTGGAGATCACTGAGTTGCTACCATCTCAAGGTTTTTGACAAGGGTGCCTGGGGATCAAAACTGAGGTCTTTACAGTGGCATGGCAGGTATTTTACTGACTGAACCATCTCCCTTAGCCTCATCTTGATGCTATCTGCATAGTCAATAAATCCCAGAAGAGCAAATCTAGGAACCTTTGGCTAGTCTGTAATCCCTATTGCTGATGGAGTTGAGGGAAGGGCTGGCAGGTTGAGGGCCCTTTTAGAAAGGTTAGAACACAGGATGGGTAATGCAACAGGCTCCGTTTCAAACCCAGGTCTTGCACTAACTACTGATCTTGAACATATTTAACATCCTATTTATAAAATGGAACTTCTGTTAGGATCTATCTCATTGGTTGTTGTCAGGATTAAATAAGTTAACTCCTGTTAAAACATCTTTACCCTGTCTCTGGAAACAGTAGGTCTTCAATAATTGTTAGCTGAAATGACTACATAAGACTTTATGTTACCATCAAGGATGCCAGTGAAATGCTTTATCACACAGCATAAAATACCTCACTATGTACTCAGATATGTGTGGGTGAAGAGTACTCATTGCTTTATTCAGCAAATGTAACTATAGTCATAGGTGGGAACAATGCTGTGAAAGATTTATGTTGCCTAAATCTTTGGAGCATATCAGACTCCAGTTGCACTAATGTGGCTAGTCATAACAGAAAAATTTCATTAATAAAATTTGTCTTATTACAAAATGAATTTAGTTTTTCTCTATAAAGCTAGGGATTGATCTTGTACAGCTGAGTATTGTTATTTTCTAAGTACTGCACTATGCAGAGGCATGATGCTCTTCACAGGTGACGCCAGTGGACTTACAGACATGCAAAGCTAAAACATGGACTTTTACTTCCCACAACGTCAAAGCTATACACTCTTAAGTAAGTTTCCATCTTCTGATACACGGTTGTTTCACTCTGTTTTGTCTTCATGGTATTTGGGATCAAACCCCAGGCTTGCTCATGTTTAGCAAGTGCCAGATATTATTGAGTTACATTCCCCAGTAATGATACTTAGCTTTTATATCTGTGAAAATGCTAGGAACATTTCCATTTCAGGGGATGAGGGAGAAATTAAATTCATTTGCTCACTCAATTTTGTTTTAGGGGCACTAAGAACATAAAAGCAAACAACAGATTCTGTATCCTGGGCTCTGTACATAAAAGTACTTGCAGACAAGCTTGCCAACTTGATCTCAGTCCCCAGGGCCCATGAGGTAGAAGGAGAGAACTGACTCTCTCAAGTGAAGGTCAAAACCACTTACATTATGCATGCATGTGCCCCTCCCCCATAAGCACATTTATTTTTAAAAGCTAAAAGAAAAGAATTTGTGGAATTTGTGTCTTTTTAGTTTAATTCTAAAGATAAATTTCAGGAAAATTAAAATTGCTTATTTGAAATGAAATACTCTTTAAATATTAATTATTATATGAACATATGTGGTATTAATGTCACTAATAAGGTGACTTAAAACATTTAATTATGACAGAATAGAGATTCAAATTAGAATTTGCGATTACATAATGAATATGTTCTAATAAAGACAAATAACGTAGAACTGAGTTAATTGCTAATGAAAGGATTTTCAAATTATCTTTTATTAGGTCATTTTAAAGTTTTAGACAGCTGTTTGGCACACAATTGCACACATATATACCATTCTCTAAATAAGTCAAGAGAAAACCATAGTTTATAGACACTATATACTACTTGAAATATCACAAAAACATTTATTATAAAAATCGGTCAAGTTGTTTAACAAGTTGTTTTAACAATAAAAATTTTGGGGTGTGTGTATATAAAAAAATTCAAGCATGCCTTTTCGAAAAGGTGCATTTCTATCCAGATGCTCCTAGTAACTGTCCACAGAAGTTCAAATAGAGAACAGTGAAGGTAGCATTGCCTTGCAGTGCAGCATTCATTAGTGTGGATTTACTCTGGGGCTCTATGAACACTCCTTTCGCATACCTATCGTAAAATAGTAAAGATTTATAGCCGTTTTTATGAAAAAAAATATACAAACAAGACTTTATTTCCAGAATAACTTGTTACCATGAACACTGAATTCATTTTGCAGATATTACTGACACCTTGCATTATTTCAGTAAAATTTTCATACTCGAAACTCAAAAGGAAAACCACCAAGACATCATCTCCCAATACATTCACTGAATGCAGGCTTAAATAAGCACATTCATCTTGACTGTGCCCTTTACATGTCTACTTTGAAATGACAACACGATAGTGCATTTGTATTTCAGATGGCACCAAAATTAAACTGAAACAGTCTATGCAAAACCAGTAGCCTGTACTTCTAGCAACAGTTGTCAAATGTGCAGGGGAAAAAAGACAAAAGCCCTGAGTCAACAATATATATATACATAGATATAGTTTTCAAAAGTAATGAGAGAGGGTGTTCTGAAGTCGTTTCAATTTAGGCAATAGTTAAGAATATCCAGTATTCGTTTCTTCTGTTTTCACTTTGAAGAGAGGTACAACTTCTATCTTCTTAATCCAATTTAGATCATTTCTTAATACTCAATTTCATTTAAGTCTTCAGAATATCCTGATGATTGTTGAGTTGTATCTTCCATTTCTGTCAGAAAAGATGGACAATAATTGTTTTCTCTATAGAAAAGATAATTTTGCATTCTTATAATTTGAGACTATATTATAAAATCCCACTTCCAATCAAGCTTCCGTAATTGAGGAAAATATTACCTGCACATGGTCCTGCCTGAAATTTAACATCATCAATGGCAATATCACTTCTTATTGATGCTCCCCGAATGGCTTCAAAAATTATCTGAAAATGAATGCAGTTTGAAATTAGAAACAGTCAAGATGATAAAACTGTGCTGTTTAGGGAAGATCTATGGTGGGGCTGATTTTGAGGAAAGGAATACAGAATTACAAATTCAAGCCTGGCTCTTATGACCCCAGCAGTCAAGAAGCGAAGGTGGGAAGATTGCTGCAAATTCAAGACAGTGTAGCTACTTAGTAAATTCTAGGGCAGCCCACTCTACCTTGCATGTTTGAGGCCAGCCGGGGAAACATAGTGAGACCCAGTCTCTGAGATCAAATCCAATAAAACCAGACAACAATAACTAAAATAAAATTACAAATTCAAATTAGGTTATTTGTAATCTAAATATCCTACAGTGAAGTATGGCACCCTGGCGACTCCTCTGGCATCTTTAGGCAGTTCCCCAGAGATGCTTAATCAGGGGTGCTTCCTAGTGACCTGACAACCACACCTTTTAGAACACTCTGGGTCTAGCATCTCCCAGCATTCTTAGGCTAGACTCATCAGCTCATTTAGGCTCCCACTGAGTCTACTTTTGATACTGGCTTTAGGTGGAAAAGTTTAATAATACTGAGTAGAATAATTAAATTCAAAAGGTGATTCACTTATGTTCAATACCATAACATCAAAGGCACAATCCAATGAAATAGGGGAGGGCGTTCTGTTTCATGAGTTTAGAGTTTTTGAAGAAGTAATCAAATATTATTTTTTAAAATATTTATTTTGTGTAGATAAGTGCTCTATCAGCATCTACACCTGCATTCCAGAAGAGGACACCAGATCTCGGTATAGATGGTTGTGAGCCAGCATGTGGTTGCTGGGAATTGAACTCAGACCTCTGGAACAGCAGACAGTGCTCTCAGCCACTGAGCCATCTCTCCAGCCCACAAATATTCTTAATGTAGGAAAATAGATCACCAGCTCCAAGGATGTTGCAACAATGGTTAATAAATGATGGAATTCTCCAGAGAAGTTTGTGGATGATGATAACTGTCCAGAAGACACATACTTGCCCTACCAGTGTCATTAGATCAGTTTATGCTTTAGATTAATTACTTAAAAAGCTCCTAAGTTAATTTTATTAAAGCTACCCAAAATTAAAAAAATAAATTGAATAATTAATAAGTTTATGTAATTATCTTGAAATTAATGAAGTTAATGACAGACATATAGCAAAATAAGGTCAAGGAAACTTTCTAAGTCTGTAACATGCAATGATTAATTTTAAGCATGAACTTTTCTGGGCTAAGGGGTATCAAGGTGGTTATAAGCCATTATTTCTGGCCATGTCTGTGGAGGACTTCCTGGGAGGAGATTGGCCTTTAAAAAAGTGGCCCAGGTGAGGATGTGTGGCAATTATTCAATGCAGGTAGAGGCAGATGAAAAGTGAATTCTCTTTCTTTTGGCACTGGGCAGCTATCACTTCCAGCTGTTGGGCATCTGAATGCTGGGCTCTGGGGCTTTTGGTCCTAAGACTTATCTCAGCCAAGGCTTCAGGTCTTTCTGAAGGTTAGACCATTATTTCCCCCATTTTCAGATACTAGACTAAGCTGTGCTACAGCTTTCCTGGTCCCCCGGATTGCAGACTACACGTCATGGAAATTCTTAACTAATTTCTATAGCAACTCCTTCTCTTCCCTTCCATCCATCTGTCCATCTGCCTACCCATATTCCTGAGTTCTATTTCTCTAGTAGCACTAATTCATATATAACCCTAAAAAAGAATCAAAATAAGAGGTGAGAAAAGAGGGCAAAATGTTCTAATGCATCTGCACAGAAGAATATATGTATGCAATTAATAAGCATTTTTGTTTTCTGAACACAAACAACAATTGGGTTTTGGATTCAAATTACTCTAAAAGACAAATTCCGATGGAATGATATTCTGAATAATCAGTGATTTGGCCAAACTCTGGACTTTGTAAACCTTTTATGAATTCCTTTAATATTTGAGTGACAACCATGTGATAGCCCTGTACCTTCTCTGTTGTGATTGTTATGTGGTAGCAACTCTTTTTTTTTCTTCATTTTACAAGATTATTTTGGCTTATCTTTATACTTTAAATCTAACCAACCCTATGCTGTAGCAACCAATAAACAAATATTTGTTTATAGGAGAACTGCAACAAATACGGGATTAAATTAGATATGTTATTGGTTCCCAAACTGCAGGCTGAGACATCCAAGTGCATTTACAAGGGTGCTATAGGATAGTTAGAAATTTTAGATAGAAATAATTCAATATTTAGGAATACTGTGGGATACTCATTAAAAGTTATCCAAAGATTCAACATCAGATGGGCCTATATTCATTTTTGTAATATCATTATACAATTAGGGGTTTGGTAGCAGCTATAATTAAAAGCAAGTACCATGTAAAACTCTACAGAAAACCAAGTCAAAATTACCAAGACTAAGGCAGCTATAAGAAAACAAAGTAAAGATGGGTGGGGTGGTTTAATACTTCAAATCATAGCATTTGATAAGCTAAGAAAGGATCATGGGTTCAAGACCAGCTTAGGTTACATCTCAGAAGCAAGACCCTGCAGGCTTCTTACTGCTGCTTCCAAGCCAACCTGCTGTTCTTGCCAGGACTAGTGCTGTAGGGTCCAAGTATCCTGCCTCCTGTAACATTGCGCTTTCCAACTAGGTGCCAGAGCTATTGCTTAAAATCAGATCATTACCTTAAAACCACTGCTTTTGGAATAATTTCAAAACAAATACCATGTCCTATAATGTTTTGCAAAATTATCCTAATACTCCTTTGACTTTATCAGCTAATCATCTTGATCTCCCTTTTCCCTCTTCAATTAAGATTATTTTTAATAGACAAACCATGCTGTCATATCTTTATAAGTTTCAACATGACATTTCAATATTCATTAATAATACACAAAGATTAAATCAAGCAGATTATTAATGGTTTATCATTTTACAGTGATGAGATATTTAAAATTTATTTTCCTAGTCATTTAAAAATATGTAATACTTTATTATTGACTGTAGTCACTCTTGTGCAATAGATCTCAAAACTCATTCCTTTTCTCTACATGAAATGTTACAGGGTTTTTTTGACCATCAACTTATCATTTCGTCACTTTTCATGCCACATTCTGCTCAGCTATCCCTTTATTCAACTCTGTTCCTGTGATTTCAAATTGACTTATTTTTATTGGCACTGATATTATCTATTTGTGGCTTATGATTTAAAAGTTTTTCGTGTGTGTGTGTGTGTGTGTGTGTGTGTGTGTGTGTGTGTGTCTATGCCCATGGAAGCCAGAAGATGGTGTCAGATTCTTGTAATTGGAATTAGAGGAAGCTGTGAACCACCCAACATAGGTGCTGGGAGTAAACTCAGGTTCTCTGGGAGAGAGTAAGATTCTTTCCAGTATGAGCCATCTATCCAGTCATTAGCTTATAATTTAGTGTATTTTTTTTTAAAATCGCTCTCCCACAAGAATGTAAACTTCAAAAGAAAAACTTCGTATGTTATATTTATAGCAGAAAGTTAGCATTTATTACATGCCCATGATCAATAAATGTTTATTAAAATGAGATATTTTATATTAAATTACAAGAACTCAACCTGGATGCCTGATACACCTGTTGTGAATATCAGTTCTGCTATGGTAATGAGAATTAGAGACCAGGGAGTGAAAAAAAAAATGTAGTTTTTAAAACTGTGAAACATTTTTTAAAAAATAATTTGGTACATTGAAGTTTATAAAACCCTTTCACACATAATCTTTTTTGATACCCAGTTTTACTCTGCTGGTGTCAGCATGGTTGGAATTATTTACCCATTTTGAAGATGCTGAAAAAATCCCAGAGAAGACAGGTTTGCCCAAGGCCACTTGGTGCCTGTGACCCTAAGGGAATGAGGACAGTTTGGAAGTTCTCTGGGCCAGTGGACAGTGTAGGACTGTGGTTATGAAAACAGATTTTGGCACTAGGCAGATCTGGGTGTGAGTTCTCCACCAGCCATTTGTTTTCCTCTATCTATAAAATGGAGCTATGACACTAATTGGAACAACCTACGGACAACTCTTAGCAGTGTAAGTGCCCCGTGGAACAGATGGCCAGGTTATGTGCACGAATGTGTCTGTATTTTATTAGACAGTAGGCTATAGCCTAGTCCCCCTCAAGTATTTGGGATTCTTGAGGTGAGCACTAAGTACAAATGAAGAAAATGATTACCTGTTCCATTATTAGCCAAAGGAGTCAGTCTATTCTAGAGTCTTCCTTCCGGATTGTGAACTGAAAACTTCTATAACCACCTTGCACTTTTGAACTGCAACATTCCAAAATGGCCCTCCAGATGCTTTGCTAATCTATGTTTAACAGTACTTCAAGCTGTGCGTGGTGGTTCGTGCCTAGAATCCAAGCAATGGGAATTTAAGGAAAGAGAATTCTGAGCTTGAGACCAGTTTGGGCTACATAACCAGATCTCTTAAAATAAGAACAAAACCAATTTCTAAGACCACCTACACAGTTACATATATGCATAGTATATTTTATGCAAGGGCCTCTGTGTTGATCCCCAGAACACAAATTTTAGAGCATTTGTCTATCAGTGTCTTTTGAGAGCATAGTTAGGAAGGACAGCCCAGTGATGGAACACTTGCCTGGCATGCATAAGGTAATGGATTTGATACTTTCACTGTAGGATTGGCATGGGGGTATCAGTGCTTTGGGTCCCATCCCTAAAGAATCAGATTCATTTATTTCTGGAGATTTTCTAGTTTTAGCTTGCATCAGAATCACTTGGTGGACTTACTTAAAATAAATTTCTGAGGTTCCAAAGCCTTTGAGTGTTTCTCATGTAGTATTCTGAGGTGGAACCTGGGAAATAACATTTTGGGTAAAATTGTATTTCAGGTATTTCTGATGCTGCTGGTACTTGGACCATGCCTTGAGTTCCATTTGATAAAGGGTCTGACTTCCCTGGAGCCTAAGAAGATTGAGCCGTCATCTCTGAATGATGATCAACTAGCTGCATTAGTAAGTTTTGGTCTGGCCTATGTATCTTCTATAGCAGTCATAAAAAAATCTTCATGGAGAAATCTACCATTCTCTAATAGATCTCCAAACAGTTGTTTGTGCTTAGCTGATAGATCCTTCTAGATAGCAGAACATGTTTCTCCTATCATTTGTTCCTCATCAATGTAGCGGCGTGAGTGGCATTGTATCCAGCCACTTGACTTGCTATATCTTCAGTTTAGCTCTTTATAACATCAGTTTTCATTGTAGAGGATGGAAATAAAAGTCCATATTTTGTATACCTCTTCCCAGGAAGATTTGAGCTTAGAGCAGGCAGCCAGCCAGTGGTTAGAGCTAAGTGGGCCCAGGAGATTTATCACCCAGACACAAGGCTGCAGAGGAAGTTGGAAGCTTTAGCTGGAGAGCATGCTCACACCAGAATTCTACAGAGTGGTTTCAAGAACTGTTGGGAGTCTAAAAGTTGCCTCCCCAGAGCTCAGCTTTGGAGGCCATGTGAAGTCTGTGGCTATCAGAAGGCAACCTAGGCTTTCTAGGCTAGAAAAGTTGCTCATCCCCCTCTACTGGAATGATCGAGTACATCCAGGACAAGGGTTTTCTTTAACACATGGGGAGCTGGGGGTCTGGGGAGGAGATGACCATGGACTTTGGATCAAGATCCCCATTTTCTCTACAGTGACACAGTAATGAATACAGAGGCTTAAAAAACTAACCACAGGCTATACACACTCTTAACTGGCAGCTTAGAACAAAAGCTCTTACATACAAGTAGATCATGGGTAATAGGAGTAGTGGTGTATTTAGAAGAAAGAAGACTTCCTTTCTTGAAGAATGTACTTGACATGCACAACACACCAAGACAAAAAAGGTACCCTTTCATCCTTGAATTGTAAAAAACAATCACTTTACGCATGACTGTCCCTGTCTGATTTTCCATTCCCTGCCTTCCATTCACTGCTCAGTTAATCAATAACAGGCTAATTATATTTACTCTCAATTAATCCTGCCTTTATCTCTGGCTCTGAAAAAGGACAAAATATTCTCTTTTGCATCAAGAAACAGGAGAGCACCAGGTACTTCAGTACTTGCTTCCCTGATGGCTCCCATCCCTTCTGGCTTACCTGGTGTTGCCTCTTGTAGCTGTATTCAACCAGGGCCCGCAGCCAGGAGATGCTCTGCTCACCTCTTTTTCTCCACAGCAGGGACTCCTTACTGTCTTCTTCCCTTTTCAAATACACACTCAGCAGGCCCGTTCCTGCTCCATACATGTGGTAGAAAAAAGTCAAGCAGTGCTTCCCAGGGACGCCTCTCAGCGGCTGGGACAAGAGGTGTGCTTTCTGTCCATATACCATGTGGGAGGCCTCGATATACATGTAGTAACCTTGAGAGAGATGTAAAGCAGGCACAGTTAACAAAAGACCCCATCACATTTTATTTTTCCTTTTAGCATTCCTGGAAACGTAGACACTTTGGCTGTAATACTGAGAAAAAGATCTTATAATACTGGAGAGTAGGTATGATCCAAGAAAAATTGACATGCTGTAAGGATTAGACCACAAAGGACTTTCTCACTCAATGGTTTTTAATTCAGTTTCATGGACCGAAGGTGATTAATGCACCAGTATTATGTCAGTGGCATGATTATATCACTGCTTCACAGATAATATTCCAAATATTCTTGTACTCCCTCCAGTTTTATACACTGAAACCCAAATGCTTAGGGTATCCATATTAAGAGGAGAAGTAGGGATGTGATTACATCATGAGGGCAGTGACCCCTTATCCCAGATGAGATCAGTATCAAGGACTTCTGAAACTAACTCATGTCTTCTACCATGAGAGGGGAGCTTGAACAGAGAGCCACATCTGAGGAAGAAGGCCCTCCCCAGATCTGCTGGAACCTTGGTCTTGGAGCTTCCACAACTTTGAGAAACAAGTGTGTGTTGTTTATAAGCTGTCATGATTCTTTCTCACAGCAGTCTGACAGAACTAAAGCATACCACCTCCCCTCAAATATATTCCAGTTCTTCCAGTTGCTCCGGCCCCAAACATGGGAGCCACACAGCATTCTCCCTCTTTCTCTCCTCATCCAGGCTGTCAGGAATTCCTGGTGGCTCTACCTTCCAGAGCCTCGCACCACTCCCTCTACTGATCTAGTCATTTCCCGTTGGACTAACATGACAGATTGCTAGCTCCTGTGTTTGTTCCTCCCTTATCTCCTACAGTCTAAGCTCAGAAATTTCTATAGTGATCATTATTCTCAATGCTTAATATGTATGTGTATGCTGTGTGTATGTGTGCATTCACACACAGTGTATCTATGTGTGACACATGTGTCTGATTACTGCACATGTGTGGCGGTCAACAACCTCGAGTGTTGGTTGCTGCCTTCTCTCTTGCTGTTTTTCTGTGATGTGTACCAGCTTGTCAGGCTTGTGAGCTGGGGAATCCTCTGTCTCTGCCTCTCATCTCCCCAGAGGGGTGTTGGGATTACAGATGCTGGTGCTACTGCATCCATGGGCTCTCTAGTCCTCATGATTTCACAAGTGCTTTTGCCTACTGGCATCTTCCCAACCCCCCAAAACTAAATGGTACCATGCCTTCATTTAAAGCTTCCATTAGCTCAGCCCAGAGTCAAGGCTAGAGGCCTCAGGATTGCTTTAGCGCCCGGAACAATCTGCCTCCCATCACCTACATTTCACTACTCGTTCTTATCCCTCCTTAAGTGGATGCTTCTACTCCTGGATATCACCTCAGGCCTTGGCATATGCTAACCCTGGCTCTTCTGGAGGTGTTCTTGGGTCTCACTCTTTCCCTCTAAGTGTCTGCCTAGGTGTTTCCTTGTCTATTGGACCTATTCTGACATCACAGTTTCAAGTCGCCCTCTCCCCCTCCTACTTGCTCCCTCAGCACACCTTGTCCATTAATTTGTTATGATTTAGTAACATTTAATTGCCTTTTAGTGGGTTCCCTAATTTTCTCCTCTTTAATCTTTGCTTCCCTCTTCTGTATTGCACAGAGATTTTCATTGTTTAGCTCAGTACCGAATCACCAGTTCCTATAGCAGGGCTCTGTCATTGTAGATGCTCAGAAATATTTGTGAGCAGGTGGGTGAACATATTTTCTTTCATAGCACTAAGCCACAAACAACTCTGATCATTTCTAGAACATATGGACCCACCAACTCACACTGAAAGAACAAAGTTCTTGGCAATGAGATAGGCATTTGAGTTGGATGCTGTAAGGCAAAGCTACTACAAATCCAAGATATGATAAAAATCAGAGGCTTATTAAAGCAAATGCTCTCAAACAAGTTCCAAATCATCTGAGGTATTTTTAAAAATGAACATGCATAAAGCTGGGAGTAGTGGTGCATGCCTGTGATTCCAGCTCTTTGGAGGCAGAGACAGAGGCAGAGGCAGAAGAAACTGGAGTCCAAGGTCATATTTGGCTACACAGTGAGTTGAGGCTAGCCTGGACTACTTGAGATCTTGTCTCAAAAAATTTATTGAAAACATATTTTTAAAAAGCCCTGAAACCTTGTTTCAAAAAAAGAATTCATATGTATGATAATCCGTAACTGTCTAACTTTCATTTGTTCATTGGCATAAAAATTGCTACATTGGGTGTTTTTCACATTCAGCAATGCAGGAAAACTTTATTGTGTTTTATTTTCTATAACACTGTACCACTTAAGCTAGTGCCAGAGTAAGCAAATACACATGGCTATGGGTGCACATACAAATACACACATACACACACAAGCCTAATGGATGAGTATGTTTAATATAGTTTCATGAAAAACATTCATGAAAAACAAGGTTAAGGCGTGAAAATGGCCATGGTATGTCATCAAACCGTGTATTAAGGAGTTCTGTGCTTCCTATGTGCAAATTAGTGGCACAATAGACTTTGATGGTAACAGAAGGCATGCTAAATTAAAAAGCACCCTGAGTTAGGTATGTGTGGTAGTATACCCCTGCAATCCCAGTACTTGTGAGACTGAGGCAAGAGGATTGTACTTTGATGCCAGCCTGAGCTGTATAAGAAAAATATCTCAAGAAATAATTTTTAAGGTAACGAAAAAAAAAAAACACAATGAAAAAACTGTATTTTGCTTTGGAGTTCTCCAAAGGCCACTTGAAATCCCATGTAAAAGACCTTTGCTACAGATGAGAGTCTAGTAGGAAAGGCATTATTCTTGAAACGCTTTCTCTGTGCAAAGAAAAGACTATGAGGGGCTAAGTGATAAAGTAGGAAGCAGAGCATCTTGAGTGACAGATGGCCTGGGATTGTCTTTCACTTAGTGATGCTAATTCTTGGCCATGGTCATTCTGAGTATTGGTTCAAGTTCTTTCCTTCATGGACGCCAGATACTAGTTTCTCAGCATTGAAAGGGAAAGTATTGCTCTGTGCCAGACTCTTCCTGGCACAGGATCTAACTAAATCAGGGCTGCCTCTGCAGCCTCCTACACTCTCATTCCCCTTGTTTGGACCACACACGCATATAGATGCAACTTCTGCAGCCCGCTCTGCTTTCTGTTCCTTTATTTCTGAGTCTTCGGTGTCAAGTGAAAGCTATTAGTTAAGACAAGACCACCAGTTCCAGAGAGCTTTGGGCTTAATGCTATGGAATAAGAAAGGAAATCAATCCATGCTGCTTCACTCATGTAATTGTGCTCCTTTTGGAAGAGGAGTCATATCTGGAAGGGGAGTGATTTTCTAGGACACTAATTCCAGTCTACGTCTCTTCAATATTTTTAGCCTTTGCAAATCACTTCAGGGTATGGTTTGTAGTAAGAACACATGTATATGGAAATACTGATTTCAAGCAATCTAGATCAATGTCTATTCCTAAATATATGATTTTAACAAGCTTGCCAGTTCATCAGAACCCCCTCCTATGTATGAATTAATTATTCTTTTTGATTATAAATACATCTCCTTTTTTTTTTCCCCAAGACAGGGTTTCTCTCTGTGGCCCTGGCTGTCCCTGGAACTCACTCTGTAGACCAGGCTGGTCTTGAACTCAGAGATCTTCCTACTTTTGCCTCCTGAATTCTGGGATTAAAGGAGTGCGTACCACCACCATCCCACTACTTCTCCCTTCTTGATTTGCACATGATACTTCCTGTTTCTGAAACCACCAGAGAACTTCAGAGAGGCCAGTCTGCCTCACACATGTTTGGAAAGCAGAGAAAAGCTGAGTGTGCTGACAATGTTTCCACATTACAGCTTTGAGCTCTGTCTGTCTCCCAGCATGCCACAGAACTGATACTTAAGGCTAGCTCCTGGGTTCCTGCATATGAATGATTCCAGTCTGTAGAAAGGATTGTGGTGTGATGGTGGGGAATAAAGTCCTTTCTTTCTGTGGGCTACTGTCCGACATCTAAGATGCAGGAGTCCCATGAAGCTACTGCACACTTGGGGGCCCCATCTGTTGTTTGTGAGACAACTGTGATGTCACAAGAAGCAGAGACTCACACCATGCTCATAATCCTTAGCTGCAAGACAGCTGCTCTGCTAGCCCCTTGGCTCTCTGTTACAGGATTGGGAAGGGGTTTTGGCAGTCTGTGTGATGAGGCCCCATGGAAGGAGTTGTTTTCATTATGCTGGAAGGGCACTCCTAAAAATCAAGGGCAATCATCAAAGCTTTGGGAAAAACAACTGTTAAGAAACTGTCCCTCCAACGTTACTCTATTTATTAGATTAGTTCTTTGACAATGCAAGCTGGTTACTCTCCCAACTGCTCTTATTTCCCTCCTATTTATTAATACCTCCCTTCCACCCATGACTTCCTGTCTGTCCCTTTCCCAGATTCATGACTTTTGAGTTTGTTGTGTCACCCATTTAATTTAGCCATGTTGAAAAGCTTGTCACAACTGAGGAGTTAGTCTTTAATGGGTACAGTTTCTGTTTAAGAAGGTGACAAATTTCTGGGGCAGGATGAGGATGGTGGCTGCACAGTGATGTGCTTAATGTCACCGAGCCAAACGCTTATGATGTACATTTTACCACTGACTGAAGCACACATAGTTTCTATATAGCAGGAGGTGCCATCAGGCTGCTAGTATGGGGGCCTTTTAAAGGACTTTTGGCAGAAATGAGGATGCGGTAAGGGGACAGGTCAGACCAGTCAGTTATAGAGAGAATATTTTATGTATTGTATGGATGCATTTTCATCCATAAAAATGAAAAAAAAAAAAAAAACCTATGGCCTATAGGAAAGGGTAGAAGAGAAGGTAGGACATCTAGCAGGCAGAAAGGATTCTGGGATAGAGCCAGGCACTGAGGATTCATCCAGGAAGATGTGAGGAGGACAGATGCATGGTACCTGAACAGAGTTAACCAGCCACGTGGCAGACTGTAGATTAGCAAAAA